CAGCAAGGATGGCCTTAACAAAGCGGAGGATTTAGGCAGGGCAGGGATTTAGATTCCAAACGAGAAGTTCTCTGGCTTTCTAAGTGCGATGGATTAACACATCCAAAAGTTTATGCTGGGGGAGTAGCCAGACAACTTTCAACCCCTCTGCGTCTCTACCAGCTGGTTGAAAGTTTCTGGCTGCTGTGGGTTTCTCTTGAACGCTAGCCAAAGTCCTTGCTCCTTGTACATTCAGCACAAAGCACCCCAGGCTTGTGTAGCAACAGGCCCAGGAAAGCTAATGGCAGGCGAACAGAGAAAGAGACGCACGCCCCGTGGCTCACTGATCCCACAGATGCACTGCCACAGGTGCTTCGCTGTCATGTCGGCGTCAATTATGATATGTGAGTTAGATTTGGGAAAAGGGAGCATAAAAAAAAAAGAAAAGGGGGTTCTGTCAGAAGCTTTTGCAGATGTGTATCCAAAATTCCCCAGCAGCATTCGAGAGCTTGGCACTTTGAGGTCTTTGATGCTCCCTCCAGGAGCTACCCCGTCTCCTTCGTCCTTCTCTCTCTTCCCATATTCATATGCATCTTCATAACCACAATGCATTCTGCTCAAAACTGTTTTGCCCATTCTATCTTCTCCCGCTGCCCCCTTTTAATCTTGTTCTTGTTACTCTGTCAACTTCCCCCTCTTCCTCCTTTTCCCTCGCCTCTCTGTCCTTCTCCTTTCTTTCTCGGCTCCTCCCTTCCTCCCTCCCCGTCTCACTGGAGAAGCATAAAAGCAGCTCCTCAGCATGCATACCGTCGCCTCCAGGCCTCACAGCACATTGACCTTCACAACTTTATCTTGGTTTTTTTGGGGAACAAAAAACAATCTGGCAGATGGGCCGGCGCCCCTCAAACACAGGAGGCATTTTAAAATTGAAAAGCTTGTTAGAGGGATACTTCCTTGGTAGACACACTACAACTGTATAAGCATGACTTAACATATTCCAAAGTCACTCGGATCATTGCTTCCATTTTTCTTTTTCTTTTTTTTTTTTTCTCGTGTGCAGCCGCTGATAGTCCCCTGTCTCTATTAAGATCAGTAATAGGGCCTCAGGCCAGGGATTAGAGGCAGTAGTTGATTTAATTAATGAAGCAATCAAAGAGAATCGAGTTGTTCAGGTGAAACACAATCTTGACTGTCATGAGGATTTACCGACTCAAACTAAACTAAAAGCACTGGAGAGGCAGGTGAACGGGAGCATCATCAGTATATCTCACATAATTTTCATCATTATTACTCTGCAGCTTATAGACTTCACTTTCAATACCACTGCTACAGTATTCATCTCTTTTCTTTTCAAGACTATATGTGTGATATGCATCGATTGCAATTGCACTGTAGCTTGGCTTAAGAAGACTATTCTCTCTCTCGAGAGAGAGTAAAAAACTTTTAGGGAGAGATCCAGCCCTCCCAATTGAGAGAGCCCCTACAGCTACTCCAGCTCAGGGCCATTAGCTGTGTGCTTAATTGCCAGTGGAGTGGCAATTTTAATACAGATTTAAAGAGCAGTAAATTCTCAAAGTTTGGGGCAAAGACAAGAATAAAAAGTAGGGTGAGTTTAAAGCTGCTAAATCAATGTCTTCATGGTTGCTTCAGGCTCTTGAAAGGCTCTGAAAAAAATTTACACTTCTTTTTTTTTTCCAGCTTAACTTTCACAGTTTTCTTTATAGAGTGAACTTATTATACTGTAGTCATTAATAAAGATTTTATATTTTTCCTCAGATCAGACAATGCTAGCCACTTGACAAATAACAGGAGATATTCCAAATGTAGCAACAAATGTGCAATTGGAAAATCAACAATACGAAAGCCAGTGTTTCTTTACAAAAAAACACATATTTTGTGCATCCTGTTCAAAGGAATAGTTCAACATCTTGGGGAAATATTGTATACTTCTTTTTTTTTTTGAGTTAGATACCACTGTCATGTCTGTGCATTAAGCATAGAGCTACAGCCAGCAGGCGATTTGCTCCGCTTACTATAGAGAAAACAGGGGGAAAACAACTGTTAAGATATACACCTGTGGTCACACAAACACAAAGATAAAAACAACAACAACCTTGTGGAATGTTTTTCTCTTATTTTAGATGAAAAGTGAAAAGACTTCATCACTTTCTGTGCATTAAGTAGGTGACTAGCCTAGCTTAAATAGCTACTAGTAGCAGGATGAAACAGCTAGCCTGACTCTCTCCAAAGTTGAAATATGCATTTACCAGCACCTCTAAAACTCACTAATGAACACATTATATCTGGTTTGTTTAATCTGTACACAAACATAAAAACAACAACCTTGTGGAATGTTTTTCTCTTATTTTAGATGAAAAGACTGCGTCGGTGTCTGTGCATTAAGTAGGTGATTAGCCTAGCTTAAGTAGTTACTAGAAGCAGGATGAAACAGCATGGCTCTCTCCAACGTTTTAAAAAAAAATGCATCTAAAAGCGCCTGGGAAGCTCATTAATTAACACATGATATCTTGTTTAGCTGTACACAGACTAACGTAAAGAGGTCGAGTTTATGGGAAATGCAGAGCCTATTTTGGGCAACTATACAAAGAAAAAAGATTAAAAGAAATATTAGACTAAACAAATGAGATATAACTTGTTAATTAGTGAGCTTTAGGTGCTTGGAGGTGTATTTTTTTTTTACTTTGGAGAGAGCCAGGCAAACTGTTTTCCCACTGCTCCCAGTCTTTATGCTAATTTAAGATAATCGCCTCCTTAATCTGGCTCGATTAAAGCACAGATATATGAGTGGTATCAGTCTTCTCAGCAGTTTTCACCAAGAAAGCAAATAAGTATGTTTATCACAAGCGTTGAACTATTCCTTTAATCAGGTGTTCAGTTGCAATTCACTAGCCTCTGCAGTTTTGTGCTCAAGGCAGAGAGTGTTGGTGGAGCCGACTAAAGAGGAAAGAGCGGATCAGCGGCGCTCACGATTCGAAGCCTTGCACAATCTCTCTGCATGCACATACAAAGACGCACTTTTTTCTGTGTTTTGTCATCCTCTTTTATTCACACCCTCCACCCACTCCTTGTGATGTACTGAAGAGGAGTGGACCCAGCTGGACACGGAACCACTGAAGGACGGAGAGGTGCTCTCATCTTTTCTCCTCCCTGCATCTCACCCTCCTCTTCACATGAAATCAGACAAGCTTTCCCTCTTTGTTTTCTTTCATAAAGGCCTGTGTCTCTTGCAGATGAGGTACTGATTAAAAGCTCATCTCTTTTGTACACCGGAATTAGCTTATTTCATTCATTCTTCATTCACTCCACACCTGGTGATGTCTCAGTTCTGATCTTGTGCAACTGTGACATGGATTAGATTTTTTTCTAAACAGCAGGCAACAACAAATCTATCTAAAAAAATTAGGTGAACCTTTTCAGTGATTGGCATCTTTTATAAGTTAGACCCAGGAAGAGATGTAATGTATTTAGGAAATCTGTTATGGGCAGGGAATTGGGAAAAATCAGTCTCTAATGTGAATATGAAAAAATATCTTGTTTTGATTTGACTGTACACTAAAAACTTTGAGAGCAAAATAAAGAAATCAGTCTGCTACAATGAGCCTGTCTGACATGATGACAGCAAAACAAATATGCACTTTTATCATTATATTATTTTTCATCCAGTTTGACAACAAACTAAATATGTGTCATGGTTCTGAGTAAAACAAAATAAATACTAGATGGATATCTGGTGTCTGCTAATCTGATGATTCAGGAGAACATTATGTAGAGTTGAAGACAGATTTACAAAGATATTTAGTTACTGAAGACAGTTTTGGTGAAGTGTGAGGAGTTGGGAATTTATAGGCCGTTAAACTTTTAGCTCATTCAGTGTTGTGACATACTGTCAGTCTGCTTTTGATACCAGTATTGATTACAAGTTGACTACAACTTAAACTTAAAACCTTCTAAAAGTGCATGTACCTTGAATCAAAGAATCCATGTGAGGTTGTATGACCTCTCAATAAAACCTCTTCATCCTCTGAGACTAGTCATAACAGAGCTGGTATCTTCTGGTATATTCATTCTGCTAAATCTCAACCTCAACCTGGGTCTTATACTTGTGAATTCAGGTCATGCAGACTTTGCACTTGCTACGTCCATTTTAAAGACTCAAGAAATGCACTGGGGCAGAGCTTTCCAAACAAACTCTAATTGTATATAAATCTTTAAAAACATTTGTCTCTGAGTCAGACTAAAAGTAAACATAGGAATTAGCCCCTATTAGCTTCTGTAGCTACCTGCATAGGGGGAAAACCTGCCAGCTAACCCAACTAGCTGCCCACGAAAAAGTGTGTTTACATGTGTGAGAATTGGGGTCGCTATGGATTTAGCCTAAATTCACGCTAGAGAAGTATTTAACTTCTAAGAAAGTACAATGACTGGTTTTCCAGTGGACCTCCATTTTCCTATACCATTAGCTACATTAGCTAATCCAGTGGGCTGACGAATGTGTTAGCTTGTTGTCAGAGACATGAATTTGAAATCATTCATGTAATTTAGCGGAGTTATTTGGGAGTAACGTCTCACATATGCAGTTAAGCAGGGACATCCTGTGTGAATAAGCTCAAGTACTACTCTTTCAATATGCTTTTCATGTCATATCTGTTACAGCTGATCATAACAATCGATACTGAAACTGTGGTATAACATCAAAAAATACAATTGAGGTCGTGCTTTAGCATGTGAAAATTGGCTTTCAGCCTTTTACTCATTCCTAGAAAATTGGCACTCTCACTTGTTATTGCTTACACAGACAGACTCTTAATGAGGGCCATTAGCAAAGTAGAACATACTTTGCAAATTTCATTCTGCTCTGGCCTACAGAATAGATGAGAACAATATCATGGGGTAATGTGAGTAACAGATAGTTCCCCACTCATTAGTTACAGTTTTCACTCGTCACATTTTATGTTTTTAAAGTAATTCCTTTAGAGCCTGACTTCAAAGGCAGCTCTTACCTTAGCTGTGGCCCTCGCCTGGTACTCTGGACAGCCATTCACTGTAATTGTTTCATGCATGTACTGGTACACCTGAAAGAAATGAATGGAGGCAGGTATTATAATTATGTTTCACATGGTGGAGATCTGAAATCACCCACCCCTGAATCTGAGCTCAAACCGTTCATTTCCATAGTCAAATAATGGTGTTCCTTCACAGCTGGTGCAGACGCATTAACAGGCCGACTGATGGGAAAACACACAGGACGCACGTCATGAGTTATTGTAGGCTGGTACAACCCAAAAGAACTATTCGTGAAGGGTCTGCTTAAATTTATCTTACAAATGCAAATAATATGTAAATGTTATTATTTTGCCAATACATGTACTTGTAGGAAAGGAGGGTGCAAAGAAGCCGGTTGTGAAAAATATATAATGTTACTCTTAACATAATTTAGCTGAACAAAATAAAAAAAATCTTATCTCTTAGCACAGGAAACAGAGGCATAGTTTGATCCTGACTTTATAAACAGCACAGAAAGTCTCCAGAACATTACTGCTTGGTGCCAAGACATGGGTTGCTGTATGTCCAGTTGGGTGAAAAACAAGGTTTTCTGCCTATTCTCTGAGGCAGACATAATCAATGCGGACAGCTGACCTTTCCAGTTAAGACGTGTCTTGTAAAGACACCTTACAACTGAACTTGCTCAAAGAATAAATGAGAAGAGCACAGGGACAGTGTTGAGGATGTATGTTCAATATACTGTAACTTTTCTGTACTTGTAGCTGTTCAAATAAAGTATATATCCACCAAACCACTCTGAACTGTAGCTGTTAAGACTTTAAAATCAGTCACATCCCTCCAGTGCTGGAACCAGATAATGAACAGCGCAATAGGAGGATGGAGATGGAGCTTTAAATGATTGAGATGTATGGGCTGATTGCAAAAAAAAATAAAAAATACTCTCCAGAGGTAATGTTTTTGCTGAGCTGGTGCAACTGACTTGATGAAACACATAAATTACAGCAACGATCACATGATTTCAGTGGACAGCTTTTCCAAGCACAAGCACATCCACTCGTTTTTAGTCCTACATTCGTGGCAGTTGCGGTTAATTGCGGCAAGCGAGCAATCAAATTTTAATCAGACTAATGATACTGTACATTATTACGGGAAAGTCGGTGCAAAACAAGCTCAGAACTGCCATCTATGACATATTATTGTGGCCCCTCGAAATGAATTTTAATCATCTGTTTCCACTGACTAGATGATATCTCTCATCAAAGCGTGGCAGCTTGCCTGGAAGCGAACACGCCTGGTAGCTTTCACGTACCGCATTACAACATTGTAAAGGCCTCGCTGCTCTGAATCATCAAAAGGATGTATACTTATGGGATAGAAACCCTGAGACATTCGTATGTAGACATCTCAGAGTGGGGAGGAGGGGGGGGGAAATATCCCTGAGTTTGTGTTGTGTTGTTTGCTTGTGAATTTAAAAAAGAATAGCTTTTGAGATTGTACCTCCACATTTCACCCTGCAATGCATTTTTCAAGATTTGCACCACTGATGCATGTGGAGAAAAGGAACTTGCAGTCCAGACACACACACGCATTCAACTCCCAAATGATACCTTTTCCCAAGGACTTCTTCCACCTTTGCACTTTTTGAGGCTGTGCACAGCTTTATAAATGCTGTGAAAGGTTTTCCTTGCCACTGTCTGTCTGCAGAGTGCCTCCCCTTTTCCTTTTTCTAAACCACCACTGCAACTGCTAATTACACCTATTTATTCTGACTGCAACTGTCTCTACCACTTAGCACTTCTCAGACATGGAATCTATAACAATGCTGGCTTTAGACGCCTGTTAAAGTAATGGCTTACGGGTCATCAAACACTGGTCTGTGTTATGCAAATGTTTAGTAATGGTTCCTGTCAAACATGACAACAGTGTCACAGGCTACATCCACATTAATATGTATTCGGTTTAAAAACACATCACTTTTGCCACATTAACACCTGGCGAGTTTTCAAGCCCTCAAAACAGAGATTTTTGGAAATGCTGCTGGCCCCATTATAGTTTGAAAACTCAGAGGCTTGGGTTGGACCTTTTGGAAAAGATGACACACACACACTCACATTCACTTCCTGATTGGGTGTGATCAATCACGACCTACCCTTCACTGATTCGTCGTGACCTTTTCCGGAAGAAAACAAACGGCATCAGCCACAGCGGCCAGTGGTGAATGCAACATGGGTAACGAATTACAGGCGTTACTGACGTTGTTCTCTTTGCTAGCAGCTACCTGCAGAAGTCACGGCAGTTGAAAGGGACAGCTACGACATGACGTGATGATGTCATCCTCCTGTCTACTGGACCTGCCACTGAATTGCAGTGGCAGGAAGTGACGTCCCTTCAACCGTCGCTGCTTAAAGTATTATTATTCCTCATTATTGTTCCTCGTTCGTAGTATTTTCTGCAACTAAGCAATCAACTAAGGAGTAGACAATCTGCCTCCTGTTTACACCGCTACATGTAGTGTATGTGAATGATCATGTGACACGCGTTTTCATGCTTCTACGGAGCTAAAACGCTCGTCTGGACAGAGATTGTTTTTCATTTCAAAAAAAGCTTTAAAATTCTTTTATTTACAGTATTTTCGAGTTTATTAGACAGATTTAATTTTCTTTTTTTCTTTTTTTTTTTCTTCATAAGAAAATTATTATTTATCGAAAAATGTCTGATGGTAGTCAAAAGACGCACATTTAATATCTCTCTCTCTTCATTTTTACCCCTGAATGCTTTGCCCTGAATAAGCCATAACATGGAACAAATAGCTGTGTGCTTTTGAATGTCAGTCTTGTCTTATGGTGGCTGCACTTTGCTCTAAAAAGGGCCGGTTGTCCTGCAGGCATCTTTTAAATTCACCCTTCTGCCTTTCTTTTTGCCAGACGTCCTTGCATCCTTTCCCTAAAACCCTCCTGCCTCTTTCACCAAAGACAAATCCTGGTGAACACGAACACACACTCCTCCTGGTAGGTTACTGGCACTGGCACCTGCGACGAGGACGCCACAGAGCGGGAGAATAGAGAGAGAGAGAGAGAGAGAGAGAGAGAGAGAGAGACGCTTGCGGGGCAAACTGACGTGACAATGCTGCTTGTAACCATGGCTTCCCTGATTCTTCTACTGAGTCAGAAGAGATGGAGAGGGAGGGGGAGGGGTAAAAGAGAGGTCTTGGCCTGGTTGATGTTTTTGGAAAAGGATGAAAGCCAGCGCAGAACTTAACAATGCACTTCCCCTCTCGACGGAGGGAAAATACTGAACCTGCACGTACTAACTTAATGCACCTTTCATCCTTTAACTTAATATGATGTGGGAGGCGGAGGCAACGGGACGGAATCAACACAAATCCTCTGTCCTTGCTTGCTTTTGCTTTTATTAAAAAAAACAAAAACATAGTCTATTATGTTGATTGAAAATCTCTACTGAAGTGGAAAATCAACTGCAATGTTAGAGCTGATGAAAGATGCGATCGCCCTGGCCTGCTTTCTGAGCGTCCCGTGTTCGTCAAGTGGGAGTCTCTAACCCAATATACTGCGAATTCCCACTCTCCATCATTTCCAGCTGGTTAGCTCTCCCAGTCATCTCGTCTTGTGTCCTTCCTTTCCCATTTGCAAGGCTGATTGACCCTGACAACTCTTTCAGGCTGATGCAGTGAGACTAACGCAGAGACACAAAGATTCTCACCCCCTCCCCTCATCACTGATGAACGTGGCGGGGGGAAAAGACAACCAGCTCATCAAACTCTGTCTCTCTTTGTCATTTGGCCCAACACTGCTGAACAGGCCGTTTTTTCGCTGCCGTCCATTCTTCATATTGACAGCCGGCCTGTCGTCCTTAACAAGGCTGATTCGTGTTCTGTGAATTTTATTGACATAGACTCGGGGGTGGGGGTTGGGGCTCAGGGTTGGAGCCAGACTTACAGTAGACTTCTTACTCTATAGACAAGATTAGTATGTCCACCTCGTCTGGCCCTGCGTCGGCCCACCGGACTGTGAAATGAGCTACATCCCATATGTGTGTAAGGGGAGGAATCATATCACAGATTACAAAAGGCCTGGACTAGAGAGAAAGGTCATCTGCAATAATGAAAAGTCATACAAGTGAGTGTGATCAAAATGAACAACAGGAAGGATGGATTTAGAGTTTAACCTGTGCTTTATGGCTCTTTTAACTTGAGACTAGTTAATATTGATGGAAGACATTTAGGAAAGAGATGTGAGTGTGGTCAAAATGAAATAGTATGTAATTATGTAGCACCAAGTGGAAAAAATGGAAGAATACTTTCTGTTAAAGCACATTACCAGTGTCTTTTACTACAAAGCATGCAGTATAGTACTTTTCTGGGCTTCTTCCAGGCAAGGATAAGTGGATTCAGATTACTGCCATTATGTTTTGAAAATAAAATGTCTTCCATCACAGTGAACATTTCTTGTCAAAGTTGTGTTATCGTTTTGTGGTAATTCTCGTTGTTGAAAGTGCTGATTTTTATGCTTCCAGAGATGGTGCGTTCATGTGTTGGTGGGAAGCTCGACAGGTGAGAGGTGCCACGCTGCACGGTGTTCACATTCAAGTTATAATGTTTTATAAAAAAACAAAAAAACAAACAACAGCAACAAACTAGAATTACCGCCTCGCAGTTGTATGACTCAGCCACTCAAATCAAATATTTGCCTTTTGTGTGAAACTTTGTCACAATTGCTGTGTGAATTCTTGAGTTACAGCTAAAAATGTACTTTGTGTGGTCACGCTGACCTTAACCTTTGACCTTTGACCACCAAAATCGAATTTTTAGCGTATTTGCAGAGTTATTCTGATTGGTCGGTTTGTAGCCGCGTTCTGATTGGTCAATTGGTATTTGCTGATTTGTGTTTGACAGAAGATGTCCAGAAGAAGTTTCAAAACTTGGAGCTCCCAGCAGCAAAAACAAAAACATACACTGAGAAGGTTTTAAGTAAATGGGCTGAAATTGACAAAAACACAACTGTGGTTCTTCAAAGTGACGACGAAGCTGAAAACATTTCTTTTTGTACGTGTTCAGAGGCTGAGATGTATCGGGATGCCATGTGTGAGAGGAGCAGATCATCTGGTAGGAAAGTCAACCCTGCGGTTTGTAAACGCTTTCTCTTGTCACAAACAAACACATTCAAGCAGATTTCCACATCAGGCCATCAAACTGCTGCTTTCCCACTGAGATCCCCCTTCACTCTCAGTCTCTTAATTGTTTCCAATGCAAACAGTACAATCGAGGACGCAGCTGTTGAGAACCGTGATATTCCACTACAGCGGCTCCTTTAATGTTCTGCATAATAACAGTAATAAGCTACAGTACGCAGTAGCCAGCACTTACAACCTCTCTTGCAGCTGTCTCAGCACCACACATAGAAGCTGTCGTATCATCGGTTTCACAAACCTGTAATCCACTATACCATAGTCTCCTTCACTGCGGCTCACTAATCTCAGAGCATCACTGATGGTTTCCCTGGTGACTGTGTTTAGCCAGCTCTTTGTGGGTGAAGTGGTCTGCATCTTTGCCTCTTGGCAAAGGGCAACAGCTGCTGCTGCTGCTGCTGCTGCTGCTGCTGAGGCCCTTCTCAGAGGTTTTTGAGAACCACTGTCATTGCACTCCAGTGACTGGCACTGAGATCAGTCAGCCCGTTGCCAGGCGTGCAGTTGGTGCCAGGATGTGCCAGGCATCCCTGAGCAGGTCCAGAGCACAGCTGGACCCCATGAGAGGAGAAGACTAGTCCTTTCTTCCTCTCTGTCACTTTGTATGATGTCAGGGGTTTTTCACTTGGACTGGTGCCATTGCTAGTGTTGGAAAACTTTCCCTTATGAGTAGACATAATTAATTTGGCCCTAAATGTATTAAATAAATCGTATAATTTGTTAAAATTCTGCTGAAAAGATTATTTAATTATATAAATAATTTATAGATTTACTACTTATTGTACTTAAGTTAAGTACAACACTTGAGTAAATATACTCAGTTACTTTACAGCCTTACTTAAAAATAACTCAATTACCACATAAAGGAAATGAAATGATGTGTGATGTGAAATAGCTCTCTACGCTGTATAGTATACTCTATATCAACCTGTCATAGAGCTTCAGGTTCTGGCTGTTATCCTCTTTGGTGATACAGTTTCTGTTTGACACAGTATCACGATTTTTCAGACAGTTTCCATCAATCATTCTGTGGTTCAATGGTTCAGTGGTTTGGCCTCATTGGTTCTCTGTTGCCCCCTTGTCACAAAGAGACATTTATAATGGACATGCACACTTCACTATCAGCATATTTCATTTGTTCCCGCACCGATATCCAAAGGGCAACTGCAACATTATTAACATTTTCATAGCTATGTTCAGGCAACTCAAAGCACGTGTCAGTTAAACACTGAAAAAGTAAACGCTGGCTTAAAACACAAGAATGCACTAACACTTTCAGTTTCACTCATCCCAACCTTCTCCCTATCACAATATAAAGACCTTCTGTTATAGCTAAATCCTAATACGAGCCAATTTTGAAGCAGTGTTTATAATTATGAAAAAGATTTTGTAAGACCTTCTTCATTATTGTTTTTACCCCCCTGTAAATATTTAAGTTAACCAGAAACTTGGCTTAAAGATTGAGTTCTGTTCCAGCCGCAGGAATGATAATGATGATGATCCAGACCAATTATTCGAAACATGTAATGGTTATTTTGTGCTTTGCAGCAGTAAAAAATCTCTCCCTTTAATTTACCACACAGCCCCCTCTACAAAATAAAGTGGAGCTTCTCGCCGACATACTGATCAAGTCCTCTAATTGTCTGGTTTCATTCCAGGGCGAATTACACATTCACTTTGTTTACAATTAACTTGCAGCATGGAGGCCGTCGTGGCATCTGTCATCTGTTTCCCTGCTCTTCAACGTCCTGTTTGCTTAACGAATACATGTCACTGGGTTATACTACAGTATATCACAACAGACAGGACACTAAATATACAAGATCTGTTGTTATCAGCCTGTGTATTGGTGTCTTGTAGAGTGATATACTCTTGTTTGCGTTGAAACCCCCCCCCCCCCGTCCTCCTGATGAATGGTGTTAAGATGATGGATCAGTGGGTGGCTGTTTTGCGTGCGTGTGAATGAAAGCATTTCAACAAGAGGAGGAAAACAAGAACCCCTGTTTATGATTCGCACGTTATTCCGTCCCTGTAAAATGTGATTAAAACCAATCTCTAACAGTGATTTGCTTAATTAAAATTCAGTGTAACCAGCTTATAAAACTTTCAAGTTAATGAAATGCTCATAATGTTTTCTGGGCCCCTGATCGTTTCAATGCTCTGTGAATTTTTCATGCTGTCAAAAATTCACTGTGTGTGTGTGTGTGTGTTGGTGTTCAGCTCCAGCAGTAATAAGGCAGCGCAATAATCTGTGACATTCTTAATAAGCAACAGTCATTTGTTGATTGATGTAACACAACATTGACTTAAAGGTACGGTCTCTGGTTTTGTTATTGCCGTAATTCCTCCAAGCTCGCTGTCGGGTTGACTTTCAAAGCACCAGTCGTGACCTGAGAGCGCAACGGCGGCCATCAGGGAGTGTTACCTTTCACCTTTAGCCAAGTCATGAATCAACTAGAATAATAGCTTTTGTTTGCTGCACCGCTGCTGCAACTCAAAGTCTTCTGTAACCAAAAGGCACGTTGAGAGAGTGAAGTTTTCATCCTGTGCAGCATTTGGATAATCAGAGAGAAGGCATGCATCAAATGGAAAAAAAAGAGGCCTAAAAGAGAGGCTGGCTTATAATAAAGTTAGTTAATAATTCAAAGATTATTAATCTTATTCATTTTTGTTCATTCTGCTGCATTAAAGTGACAAGAGCTTCATCATTGTCTTTACTAGACAAGAGGTTATAATACGTCCTCTGAGCAGCGCTACGTCTTCAGGGCAGATTGGAGGCTACAGTGAGTCGCTATCGGAAAGTGACGAGACAGGCCCGACCTAGCTGGTTAGCGTGATAACTTCGGTACACATTCAGTCAACATTAGCGCTGCTTTCCGTCACTGGAGACAGCTAGGAAGGGAATGAAGTTTGATGTTGAACTCGAAACGTTTCTTCTTGACTGGTACGTAAACAGCTGTTAATGCTAATGTTAGCTATGTAGCGATAGTAAAACTTACAAATAGCTCCTTTAGTGTTTTTTCCCGTTTATCCCGTGACAGTAACTATGTACGTATAAATTTGAGGCACTTGTACTTTACTTGAGTATTTACATTTTCTGGTACTACTGCTTCCAATGGATAATATAACAAACGTTTACAATACATCACATTGTTAAATATTAAAACAGTTTTTAAAGTTTTAGGCTTCTGATGTCTTACAAAAAACAGTGTTGTCAGGTTCACATTTCAGATGTTTGAGTTGTTAACAGCTCAACCAAATAGTGATTTTCCCCTTTAAACTTTTCACATGGTTTCATTTCAATAAATCTTCAAATGATCCAATATCTCACCAAAGATCAAAGAATATAGAAAAACCTGACAAAAGTGGAAACAGATTTGTGTATCAGAACTTTTTCTTCCCTCTTCCCTCTCTCATTAATGATCTCACAACCACTCAGATTTATCTGGAGTCCCTGTATATAAAGTAGTTCACCTCCAGCAGCTTCAACAGTAGCATGCTATGCTTGAACCTATACCTGCGCGAAAGTCAGCTATTGTGAAGTATTATTTTTCCATGAGAAATCATTTCTTTTCACAATAGATGATGCGCTTTACTTTTCTGCTTTCTTTGGAATAAACAGAAGAGGTATGGAGGTGTTGGGCAACACAGCAACCGTGACTGAACGGGTGAAAGAGCGACAACTTCACCAACGGCAGCAGCAACATCACAGCAATGACTGCATTGTTTGACTGGAGGAACAGCGCCAGCATGAGAAAGTCTCACAGAAGAAAAAGAATCAAGAGACATGAGTCACGTCGGTGTTCACGGACCAGCGGTTCCCTCCTTGACGGTGACTCACCTCTCTGATAGCTGTGCAGAACTCACTCTGAAGCACCTTCTTCAGAGACTGGAGCTTGTGACCGGGCACGTCACCCGACTCCTGCAGCTTCTCCAGCAGCTCGATAGCCCTGGCAACATCTGGCAGACAGAGGGGGAGAGAGAGAGAGAGAGAGAGAATGGTTATGAGTGTATGCGTGTGGGTGCTCGTGTCAAAGGGACAGTCAGAAAAAAGAAAAGAAAAAAAAAAAAGCCCCAAATTACATTAACAGCACAGCCATGAGAAAGGTGCTAGAGGGAATCAATGGGTAGGATAATGGAAAGAGACTCAGTCAAGGCCAGCGGTGGCATGAAAAGTAGAATAGCAATCCCATCCATGGATCATTTTCATTGGCTCAGCCGAATGCTTTAGAATAAAGGTGAGGGGGAATAAGTCAGGCACTCATTTGTTCAGAGGCTGACGCTTCCTGCTAAGAGTAGGCACCTGCTGGGCATTACAAAGCATTTACACTAAACCGAGAGCCTTAAGTTCGAGGCTGTGACTCTGGGGTCTACCGAGCTCTCCTCCCCTAATTAGCCTGCCCTGCGCTGAATGAGTCCATCAGCTTGACTGATTAATTTCTTGCCCTGTGAAACTGGGCTCGCCGAATAGAGACACATAATGGAAAGAGGGGGAAGTCATTTGGTACTCAACCACTGCACTTGGACCGTTGGGTCAATAACATGTTTTATTCAGCTTGTGTGTCCCAGAGAGTAGTGACCATACAGGGAGAGATGATTGGTGCAATTTTTCGGTGGAGCTGTGTTGTTTTCCATATTGTTCTTTCATCCTGAAAAAGATAGATTTGGTTTGTTGTTGCATTTACCACACGACTAATGCAGCAACAAATGTTTTTTCATAGATATAGCTGTTGATTGTTTATTGATTAATCAATTGTTTGGTCTATAAAATGAAAACAAATCATTCAATCCCAGACTCATGGTTGTTTTGCCCAAATAATAGTCCAAACTTAAAAAAATATTCAATTTCCAATGGTATAAAACAGAGAATAGCACCAATCAAAACACTTAATAAACCCCCTAAGCTCTTTAAAGACCAGAAAAGTTAGTTTTGGGAAATACTTTGAAGTGTATTTTATTATTTATTTTAGATACATTTCACAGTTTATCTAATTAATTTAACATTATGTGCTAGCAGCTACAGAACACCCACACCACATCTGACTGACAGCTGGCACCACACCATGCAACAACAGCATCTTTTTTTTAAGCGCTCCAACCACGCTTTGTCGCCCGATCGATCAATACAGAACAGGGACCAGCACGTACGTACACATCCTCTATATTACAGTACAAGTGTTGTATATTAGCCAGACCATGCTTACGCTTCATATATATATAGAGGAAATAAATGTAATAAACAACTAGGAATGACAGACTTTACTGAAACAAATAGTCGATTAATCAAAAATAATGTAGGTAATGAACTGTTTAAGTCATTTATCGAGCAAAAACGCCAAACATCTCCAGCCCCTTAAATGTCAGCATTTGCTGCTTGTGTCTGTTTTATGCCACTTTAAAATGAATATCTTTTGGTTTTGGATGGTTGCTCTGACAAAACAAGCCATTTGTCTCCATTTGTCAGCATTTTGTAATTTTGTAAATAGATGAAACAATCAGCAGTTTAATCAGTAATGAAAATAATTATAAATTGCAGCTCTGATCACAGTTAAAGCTGATTTAAAGAACCCTATGTGGACACAGTAACAGAAGGTACATACCTTCAGGAAAAGCAGTAAATAGAAACTGACTAGTCAGTCTCTCTCCACACTGTCATCCTACTACCAGTGTCTCCTCTCACAGAATACAGTGACAAATACAAAATGTGCTTCGTGACATGACAATCGCACACACTCAAATGTGCACACACACACACACATACACACACACACACACACACACACACAGACTGATATTGAATTCTGGGAATATAGAGTAACTCAATAAAGCAGACGGCAGACAGAGGAGCTTTTACTGTTTGCAGACCTGTTGGAGGCTAGAAAAGGAGTAGTCACCTCGAGCTCTAACAGTGTGAATACTGTATATAAGGCCATAAAAAGGAAATGTGTAACACAAGAATGTGCCCTTTATTGCATTTCGCCTTTATGCTACATATGAAGACAATGTGCACGCCTCACAGAAATCCAATGCCTGTTTCTATTTCAAGCACCGTGTAATAAAACACAGAGGATTATATTGATCCGCTTGAAATTGCAAGTGCAGTTCCCATCGAGACCGGTTATGCCTCCCAAAGACTAGTCCAGTGAAAGTTGTATTGGCAGATGAGAGCTGGCAATGGAGCGAGTCATCAGGATAATGCTAATCAGCCATTAATTAAACCGCTCTCATGAGTCTCATGCAAAGATGGTCCCAGGTATATCACAGGTGTATATAAAATTAGACACAGTGTTAACTGTAATTGTCTTGGCTTTACAGTTTCTACATTCTGTCCAACCGGCAGTTGTCCTCAGTGTGTTGCTGTCTGTTCCAGTCACCTGATCCCCACACCTACCTGCACACCTGCTTGTCATTTCCCAGTTGACCTTTCGCTAAGCACCAACCCACTTAATTACTGTAGTGTCACCTGTCAAGCTTTCTGTTCTTGAACAACATATAATCCATTTTACAATGATAATGCTGGCAGATTTTCAGCTCCAAATTCTTTGTAATGTTTCAAACAGTGGGTCAGTGTCACAGTCTCTGCTAGCACATTTTATCAGCTGTGGCTAGCTAGCTGATTTTGCTAACTTTAGCTATAAAAGTTGGGCAAAAACTCTGTGTCCAACTGTTTTTTAAATGTTCCAGCTGACTCATATCAAAGCCAGCATCCTGTAAAATGAGTCTTACATATGCACTTGATGTCTACATATGTTAATGCTAAAAGACTAAAGCTAAACTAAATATCCCAGGTAAAAAATAGCATGCATCTTCACCATTTGGTGATTCGTAGAAAAAGCTCCTAGTAATTATAGGTACGATAATTCAGTAAGACAAAAGCACAAACGTAAGCCTAAACTCTGATAGTACACTACACAACTGACGTGCAGAGAGTATCGCTAACCCCCAAAAACAATGCTGTAAGCTAATGATGTGCTAACGTTATGCTAGTCGGCTGCATATGCAAACAACTGCAGCTAACGTTAGGGTAATGGTATTATTTACATTTTTGCTCTTGTGTCTTTAGTCTTAGCCTAAAAAAGACTTCAGTATGTGGATGAATCCAAAGGTCAACAGGCCTGATGTGCCAACTTATGGTTGCTTAATTAGCTTATGACTGGACAATCACTCTTTGGTGGAGGTTTAGCAAACAGTAGGGTCAGTGATCCTCCTAGTATTATCATTATCTCCATCGTAGTCACTGTGTTCCAGCCTTTTTGCCCGTTTTCTCTCTGCCCTGTTTTTTGACTCCTGTCTGCTTTTTTAGACACTGCTGGCTTGTTTTGCCTCTTTGTACTTGGTTGTCTGTTTTGACTGCTAACCAGTTGCTCACCTTTGCTTGCCCCTGCAATCAAGTAAACTTAGCTTTTAATTCATCTGCCTTCTCTAACGGTCAGTCTGAAGGAAAGTCATGCTTTCCTGAGGACATAGAGAGAAGTCTAAGTCATGAGGTTGCATCTTTCCTGTGTTGGTTGGTTGGTTGGTTCCTGTGCAAGCTCCCTGGATTATCCAGTGTAACTAAGTGAATTTCTGTAGCTGTTTATTTTGTTTTCAGTGCTGTGAGTAGCACAAACAAAGTTCGATCGGAAGCAGAAAATAGATACCTCCAAATCTGTGTAAATAAAACTTTAACCATCTGCACAACTAAAGTGTGTGAAACACATTTTTTGTAATAATAAACTAAACCTTTAAGAAAAAGATCAAACTTCTACCAACACTAGACCATCAAAAAACTGTCAAAAAATGTGTTTTTGGTTTTTTTTTATGAAAGGGACTTTCAATGAGAGTAGTGAAAAACAGATTTATTCATTTCCATGTGATCCCACTTCTCACTTCACTTTTTATTGTAAGTATTCACCTCTGAAAAAGAAATCCACAATATGGGATTTTAAAGAGCTGATACTCCCCTAAGTATGCTGTATTAATATTTTCTCTCAAGATGAATAGGTCATTTCTTCCCCCCTATGCCTGAATATCAAAAAACACAAATTCTGAATAGCTGGTAATGAGCTGGTACACTTCCAAGCAGCAAGGACATCTGTCTAGCAGGTTCATAAGCATTTCTTTCTCATTAAATGGAGGTCAAGGGCCATCCAGGAGAGAATTTTTTTAACATGCTCATTAGCACCATTTTCTTTATCCACATCAAGGACTTTGACTAGGCATCAGAGTTGATGTTGCGAGACATTTTTGCTGGTGCTTTCATTGTGGTGATCAGAAGTGATAACTAGCCAATTACTGATATAATCTTTCTAACTTGAATAAGGGTAAAACTTAAATTTCCTGAGCTTTAACGTGAAAGAAAGGAGCCTCACAGTTTAAATTCAATTAAATGTTGCTATGTTACCTATAGTGACAGCTATTGTAATAACTGAAGTACTCCTACCTGCTACTGCCTGCTCTAGTCAATATACATGTTCACTTTCAGTTTTATCCTAATGTAACAGCACAAGGACACAAAATCAGTGATTACAAGACAGTGTAATTGCAGGTGTCCACACAAAAATGAATGGTAATAAGTGCTAATGATATAGCTCTCTAGTTCTCACCGAGCAGCTCAGGGGTAATGAAATGTCTGCTGGCACTGTACTGGCACATTTTTACTTTAGTGCTTCAGGTGATATCTAATCTCAGACAGGGAAAATATGTCTGTGAAGATTTTCTGCTTCACTGTCATGCTGTTTTTCATTCACATAACAAATCAAGGTATGGCCTTTGTGCAGCATGAAAACAGGTTTTGATAAACTGGAAAAGGTCTGCTGGATTATTTCTAGCACATAATATAGTGCATGGAATTTCTCTCCCCTTTTGTTTTTGTCTTTTAGCTCTATCCTGAAACTCAGATGTACCACAGGAATTTAAGCAAATGTGTCCCACGAGTGCACTTCAATACCCAGTGCTCTGTATGCTTAATGTGAAAGTGG